GTAGTGGCGGCCGAAGTCTACACTTGTTGATTTTGGACCACCAAGTGCAACTTGCACATGGGACTTCCGAAAATGTTTCCCCCTTATCTGACAGAGCTAAGTGTTTGATTTCAACGACCCTAAGATCTGGGGTGTGGCTGAAAGACAGCAGTAAGGAGCATGGAATAGCAGTACAAAGAGTGAGGAGCCCAGAGAAAAGGGAAGGGGGGGGGCAAAAAATGGAGATGAGAGCAGATGACAGAAGATGATTAGAGACCAGGAAAGGAGGGGGGGGGGGGGGAAATAAATTTTTAGAGAAGACAAATTTCCGTCTCTGTCAAATTCGAACCCAGATTGAGAGGCCAACAACGTACCTCTAGACCTCGAGAGCCCCTGTAAAGGGTCTTTGTTGAATGTGAAGAAAACTGAAAGCATGGTAATACTCTTTTATTTATTTTTTAAAGGAGAAAAAAAGCAAGGGGGGGGGGAGTAAATCATACTTATTCGTTATCTCATAAGTAAAGGCAAAAAGATCAAACAAGTTGAACGGTATGAATATCTAGCATATAATATTGCACCAAAAGCCGAGTATTCCACAGAAATTAAGTGAACAAAATGCAATGGTTAAAGATAATTTCAATAAAAATGAGCCCCATCCTGAAAAAAGAAACACCTCAATGACTAACAAAAATGGAAGTGATTAAGTGCTATGTATGGTCAACCTTTCAAAGCGGTTGTAAATGTTGAACAATCATTAAAAACAGTGAAATTAAAATAGAAGCAATTAAAATTATGCGGTTTCTTAAGTGACTGCCGATAAAATATCTTGGACGGAAAAGAAAAGAAACCAAGTGAGGTAGCACTTTGAGAAGCCTCGCGTGGGCCGCTCACTGGTCAAAACAACCCGGAAAAGACAGTTTATGAGACACTTGAATAGACATAAAGGCCTTGAATAGACACAAACATCTAGCTCTCGCTTTCAAAACTGAAGACAAGCGAGACACTGGTAGACCCCGAGCAACCTACTAGGAGGGCCTAAGTAGATGAGTGACGGGGAAAGATTAGGATAATGTACCTTTTTTTTAGAGCATCCAAGAAAAGGAGTGAATTCAATGAGGAACCATGATCGCTGATATCTATTGCAGGTCTGGCACTTGATGATGATGATGATGATGATGATGATGATGATGATGATGATGATGATGATGAAGACTGAGGTTCAATTCCCGAGTTGTAAAATTATTTAATCGAGTAGGGCTTATCTCCATAATCTGTTCTCTGAGAAGCTGTATCAGTGACAAATTATTATCAGTGAGGAGGAGAAAAATATCGATTTAATCTTTCTGCGTCCTTCATATCAGATTATTATTCATTGAGTTTGATAGAGGGATAAGCAAGCCGTTCTTCAAAATTCACGAATATACTAGTAAAATCATTAATGCATACATCCTCTTTGCTAAAACTACATAAAGTTAAACCCTTGGGCTCTCGTGGTCTAGAGGTTAGGGTGTTCGCCCTTCATTCAATGGGTTCTGGGTTCGAATCCAGATAGCGACGGAAAGTTTTCTTCTATAGAATTTTCTCTTTTCACGTCTTTTCCTGCTTCCTAACAATGTTCTTCGTCTGCTTTCGTCTCCACTTTCTACTCCTACCCCGTCACCTTCTTTGCCCCTCCTCTGAGCTCCTGACTCTTTCTGCAACCTTTCAACTGCTACTCCTTGGCTCCTTCTTATTGCTGTCTTTCAGCCACACCCCTGATCTTCTGGTAGGAAAGATCTACACCGAGCCTTCTCGGACAAAGGAGAACATTCTCGGAGGTCTCGAGTGCAAGTTGCGCTCGTCAAAGATCCCGGTGGTGCAAAATCGATAAGAGTAGGCTTCCGCCGCCACCCTGGCAAAATTCAAGATGTCCAATGGGCTGAAAATGTTTCATGTGTCCCGGTCGGTCATATGACCTTATGCAGTTGCGAACGCAGTAAAACACTCACAAAAAAGTTAAAGCCTGTCAGCTATCTCCTTATCTGCCATTGATAAGTGGATGCGTCGGTTCTGTTACGTCCTGAACCCTATCCGTACGCCCTGGGGTCATTTTTTACTCCCAGGGTTGTATTCTTCACATTTTAGAATACTTCTAGTGCGAAGGTCTCTTTGAAACTGTCAGTATTTCTCAAAAAGTCGTTTTGACAGACTGCATACGGATCAGATTAAAGAGTAAATTTCCTCTTTGGAAAGTGGTGGCACAGAGTTCCCCACATCGTATGGATGCGATAGTAAAACATGACCTACGGATTGGGTTAAACTATGTTCCCCTGTGCCACTTGCCCAAGATTCAGGCCAGTTACTTGCAACCAGGAACCATAAGCCGGAGTTTCTGTTACGACAGTATTTTAGTTATTGCATACGTTTGTTGTCGTGGACAGGGGACAAAATGTTAGAAAACATAATGTTTGCATGCTCCCACTGTTAACATCCTTTCATCGTCTATAAAGACAAGACTCGTTAGTGCTCTTTTTGGGTTGTTGAAACGAAAGACAGGACGTTTGTGCCCCATTTAGAAACTTGTACGGTCATTTATTAACAGCCTACATCTCTCGAGATAGCTGAGCTCCTGCATTTTGATTATCTTTCTGTTTTTAAAATGCTTTCACAGTCTGCGGTCAAAGTCGACTTGAACCACACAACGGGGTTTTGTAAGGTTACATGACGTCTGTTGCTACAGTTTCACTAAAAGCGAGACAAATGAACACGCTTTATGATGATATCAGTAACTTCATTTTGCCCAAGTATGGACGAACGTCTGATTCCCCCGCGTCGTGACAGATTACGTGTTAATCCCCACCAGGTAACTCCTTATCCGTCACGGGTCAATGGGTGCGGCGGGATTTCTTTTGTTACGTCAATATTTTAATTATTGTAAACGTTTGTTATCGTAGACTGAAGCCACATTGTTGGGAAAATGTTTACACTCTCACGTTGTTGCCTTTCGTCGACTTTAGATACAAGAGTTGTTGGTGCTGATAAGGGTTGAAATATTTTAGTTTTAGATGATTCATAATCCTCATCGTCACATTTTAGATCATTTAAAAAGCCGGCTGCTTTGACCTTGCTTCTCAGAGCCAAACTGGGCTAAGAGCGATATAACAAAGTAATATTGTCGAGTATCAAAGCCGCGCACGTTCTCTGTCTGCTGAGACGTTGCACCTCTCTATACGGAGCTCCCATTGAGGGGCTGACAAACCGATCGCCCGACTCGTCGCCTGAAGTCAAACGTGTTTGTGCTTTTAGGTTTTTGTTTTTTTAGGCGACGAATCGGACGATCGGTTTGAGCCACGGTAGCCGCTTTGCGCCCTCAATCTGGAGGGCAAACTGAACCGAACAGAACAGAACCGATCGTGCCTAAGGCCATCCCGTATGAGATTGTTATCAATGAAGAAGTGAAAGTATTGGTCTTATCATTTCTGCGTCCGTCTTATCAGATTAACATTCGTGGATCTTATTGAATGGATTAGCAAGCCGTTCATCAAAAGACGCACACAGACTCGTAAATTTTATCGAAGTGTGCTAAAATTATATCGCTTAATCCCTACGAGATATCGCTTTGTTCGTCTTAGATGAGTTGATGTACCGAGATTTGTTACATCAACTATAGTAGTTGCTGCAGATGTTTGTTATCGTAGACAGAGGTCAAAATGATAGGACAAAAAAATTCTCACACTATTATATATTTGTGTTTTATCGAATTGAAGCCCAAGGCTTGTTGTGGCTCTTTTGAGTTTGTTCAAAGCGAAGAACAGAAGGGTTTTGTAACCTTTAGAAACCACTTATAATTCATGAACATCTTAAGTCAGTTTCGAGATAACTGAACTTCTGCATTTTGATCATTGTCCTGCTTCGAAACAGCTTTCAGTGCACAAGTCTGATGTCAAAGCCTACTAGCACCACATGGTTTCGCAATAGAGCCAAAGATAATCAGGAGACGAGGAGAGGGGACGGGAAGAGTTACAGAGACCTATAAACAAACAAACAAAAGTCGAATGTAGTTGCTGCAGGCTCTATTCGATTTTGGCACACTTTTCTAAGTCATAACTATCAAGTTAGAAGTTTTTGGCTCATGTGTTTTCGGTCACCTCTTTACTCAGCTACTGAATCGTTTTGATATCTTTCGCAAACAATGAAAAATTATGATTGTGCTTCTAAGTGAAAAGAAAACTGACCCCAAAAGCTAAGACTAAGATAAGATAAAACATATGCAACCTGACAGATCTAGAGGGTTGGATTCGTTCAGAAAATTAGACCCATTGCTGAAAAAACTATTTTTTAAAAACGTTATTATTAAACTTCTCCCTTCAATATAAAACCGTTTAATGGTGCCTGTATTTCTAAGCATACTATATAGATTTGTGCTTTTGCCAAATACATGAAGGCCAGATTAAACTATTTTCCCCCATGTGCCCTTGGTTCTGTTCATTGAGTACCGATGGATATCGTCTATGGTCCGAAAAGGACTTAAAGTCTTAACTTCTTCTTCTTCTTCTTCTTCTTCTTCTTCTTCTTCTTCTTCTTCTTCTTCTAATTTTTCTCCTGTGCCATCCCCTCCTCCTTCTCCTCCCCCTCCTCCTCCTCCTCCTTCTTAAAAAAAAAATAATTAAAAAGAGAGAAAAAACAAGACTGTTTTCCCTTCTCAGTCAATCGCGAACATTACGCCTGTCAACACATTATGACGATAACCAAACAAAGGCCGGGTGTACAGTTTTCACACCCCCTGAGGCGTTTGGACCCTCGGCCACTTGTTACGTGGCGTGGCGTGTAGTGTCGTGTCGTGTCGTGTCGGGGTACTAACATTTCAATTCAATTGAATTCTTTCATTGGATAGAAATTGCATTTTTTTCACTCCGCCCCTCCAGTCGCCCCTAGCTTGGTAAGTCACGTGGACTCGGGGCTGGTCATCTGGTCAAACCATCGACATTTTCTCTGTTTCGTTGAGAGGATTACTCAAAGAACGATTTCAAGATTTCTTTGTGTGTGTTGACAAAACGCACGGTGGTGGTATACACATATATATCGTCTTGATTTCACAGTATTTGAGTGCAAGATTTTTGCAGCTATTGTCGACTTCGAGAGATTCTTCTAATGTTTGGAGTATTCTAACAAAGTGAAGTGCAAAAACGTCTCGTTGTTATTGATCACATAACCGAGTTTTCGGATGTGTTCAATATTGTGTGCATGTGATTCTGGTGATTCTGCGGCGTTGACTTAGACTTCTACAGCTCATCACAGTATGTCCGAGAACGTTGTGTCATCCGACGTACCAGGCCCAGCCTCAAAGGACGTTTGCAACACTAGGGAAAAGGTGAGTGCTATCTTATTCTAAGTGAGAGTTATTCAACAATTTGTTTCCGAAATCTTTAGTAATTATACAAACGGCACCGCAGCTCCTCTTTCAACACTCTCTGAGGCATACATGCACGGCAACACACCCATACACACACTTACACACATACTCACACAGATCTACGCACATTCACACACACAAACACACTCACGCGCGCACCCCC